CTTTTGCTGTTCTCTTTCTATTTGTTCGAGTTGTGTAGCTAATATTTTGTCCCTTACTTCTTTTTTGATGTGTGCATCTGCTGCTATTAATTGACCTCTGAGCAGTGCTTTTGCTGTGTCCCAAAAGTTTTGGTATGATATATTTTCATTGTCATTTGATTCTAGGAATTTTTTGATTCCATCTTTGATTTCTTCTATTACCCAGTGGTTTTTAAGCAGGGTTTTATTCAGTTTCCATGTATTTGATTTCTTTTCCTTGTTCTTCCTGTTATTAATTTCTAGTTTGATGGCATTGTAATTGGAGAAGATACTTTGTATTATCTCAATGTTTTGCATTTTGTTGAGGGTTGCTTTGTGGCCTAAGTTGTGGTCTATTCTGGAGAACGTTCCATGTGCGTTGGAAAAGAATGTGTACTTTGTTGCTGTTGAGTGGAGTGTTCTATATATGTCTATGAGGTTAAGTTGGTTGATTATGGCCTTTAGATGTTCTATATCTTTCTTGATGTTCTGTCCTTTACCAAGAGTGGTGTGTTGAAGTCTTCTACTATTATTGTGGAACTGACAATTTCTCTCTCCAGTGCTGTTAGAGTTTGTTTTACATATTTGGAGCCCTGTCATTGGGTGCATAGATATTTATTATGGTTATGTCCTCATGGCAGATTGTCCCTTTATTCATTATATAATGACCTTCCTTGTCTTTTATGGCAGATTTTGTTTTAGAATTTATTTTATCTGAGATTAGCATTGCCACTCCTGCTCTTTTTGGGTTGCTGTTTGCTTGATATATTTTTTCCATCCTTTGATTTTTAATATATTTATGTCTTTATTTCTAAGGTGTGTTTCTTGTAGACAGCATATTGGTGGTCCTGCTTTTTATCCATTCTGTCACTCTCTGTCTCTTTATGGGTGCATTTAAGCCATTTATATTCATTGTGATTATTGATAGGTGTGAGTTTATTGCTGTCATTTTGTAGTGCTTTTTTTTTTTGTGGTGCTGATATTTTCTTTGTTCCTGTTACTCTCCGTGCTGAATTCCTTTTGTTTGTGGATTTTTTTTTTGTTTCTTTTGTTTTTGTAGATTTTGTGTTTACTGAGACTTTATGTGTTTCTTCTTTCTTTTGAGGAGTAGGTTTGTTAACTTTCTTCGTGGTTACCTTGAAATTTACCCCTGTATTTCTAAGTTTAAACCAGCCTTTTATTACTTGATATCACCTTGACTTCCTCTCTATTTGAAAGTTCTATACCTATACCATTTATTCCCTCTTTTATTGTTCTGACATTGTTGTCATTTACACACTGACCTCCCTGGTTCCCTGTTGTGAATCTTTTAGTTTTGTTTTATCCTTGAGAGTTTATTACTTAGGTTGGTATCTGGTTGATGCTCTCTTGTACCCTAGATTCAGGTGGTTGTCTGACGTTGCTTGTTCTCTAACTGAAGGACTCCCTTTAATAATTCCTGTAAGTTTGGTTTGGTTTTTACATATTCCCTTAATTTCTGTTAATCTGGAACTGTCCTAATTTCTTCATCATACTTGAGCAAGAATTTTGCAGGATATATTATTCTTGATTGGCAATTTTCTTATTTCAAGGTTTTATATATGTCATCCCATTGCCTTCTTGCCTGCATGGTTTCTACCAAGTAATCAGAGCTTAGTCTTATTGTTTCCCCTCTGTATGTGACTTTTTGTTTTTCTTGAGCTGCTCTCTTGATTCTTTCTCTGTCTTTGGCTTTAGTGAGTGTGATTATAATATGTCTTGGTGATTTTCTTTTGGGCTGTATCCTATATGGGGTTCGTTAAGCTTCTTGGATGGTCAGCTTTTCATCTTTCATGATAGTAGGGAAGTTTTCATCAGCAAATCTTCAATGATCCTCTGTGTGTTTTCCGTTTTCTCACCCTGCTCTGAAACTCCAATCACACACAAATTTTTGCTTTTGATTGTATCCCACATCATTCTCAGTGTTTCTTCATTTTTCTTTGTTCTTTTCTCTGATTTTTCCTCAAACAAAGTTGTATGCAAGGATTTGTCTTCAATTTCACTGATCTTGTCTTCTATTGTTTCACATTTACTCCTAAAACCTTCTATTGCACTCTCCATTTCTGCAATCTTGTTGTTTATCTTTTGGATTTCTAATTGCTGTTTTGGTATGATTTCTAGTTGTCTGTTTCTTTTGACATTTTGTTCCTGTATTGTTTTCCTGAATTCTTCCATTGTTTTGTTTGTATTTTCCATGATTCTGTCTATTTTTTTTCTTAATTTTGTCTGTATTTTCCTTCATCTCTTGGAGAGTCCTGAATATTAGAGTTTTGAATTCCCTATCAGGTAGTTCCAGTGCCTTTTCTTCTACCAGAAGGTCACCTGGTGTTTTATTTTGGATGCTTTCTGGGGCCATCATGTCCTTTTTTAAAATATGTTTTTGATACTGTCTGCTGTCTTTGGAGCATTCAGGAATTATTTTCTTTGTTTATTGTCGTAGATTTGTTCGTTTTGTCCTGCTTTTTGGTTTCATTTGGTTATGTCTGGGCATGTGGGCTGGGTGTAGTTCGTTGCTTGCTCATCTGTGGGCATGAAACTTCTCACCACCTTGTCCAGGGGTGCAGGGCTGGTTGCTCAGCTATGGTGCAGCAGGACAGGTTTAGCGGAGAGGGTGGGTCTTTTGCGGCATATACTGTGGCTGACTGGGCAGGGTCCAGTGGTCTGCACCTGTGCCACTTGGGGGTGTGGCACTTGGTGCATGGTGCAGATAGGTGGTAGGGAAGGGAGAGGATGTGATGTGTGGAACTAAGTGGGTGAGAGAAAGAAGATAGAGCCACCAAAGCAAAAAAAAAAAAAAAAAAGAAAGAAAGAAAAGGAAAAAGAAAAAATAAAAATAAAAAGTGAATAAAATGATGGCGCAGTAGGATTCGGTGGGTAGGGGCAGGGAAGACCCTGCAAGGCTGTGTGCTAGTGGCTTTCTAGCTGAGCAGTGCAGCTTGGCCTGTCAAGAAGGGGCATGGGCAGTGCACAGGGCTACGTGAGCTGGAGAAAGGAAAGAGAGAGAAGAAAAGAAAAACAAAACATCAAAAATCGAAACAAACCAAACTAAAAAAACAAAACAAAAACAACAACAGCAACAAATAAATATGGTGCTGGGGAAGCTGACCATTGAGAGTGGGGCAGAATTGGGGTGGTGGCGAGTTGATGTCTCTCTTGCCCAGTAGTGCAGCAGAGCCTGTTGAGAAGGGGCAGAGGCAGTGCAGGGCCTAGATAGGAGGGAGAAGCAAAAGCGAGAAGGAGAAATACAAAGAAAAATAAAAAAAATGTGGTGCTGAGGGAGTCGGCCTATGGGGGCAGCACAGATCTGGTGAGGCCGTGTGCCAGAGACACAGGAGAACTTTTGGATGTTGGTCTCAGCTACCCAAGGAGCTCTGTTTTCTCCCACACTTGCCATCCACTCTCTATGGTGCCTTCTAGGCAGAACTTCTTGCTGAGCACTAGGTCAGAAAGAACAATTTTGGATGAGACCTCAGTGAGGGGATAAGGGGTTGGGAGAGGGGCACTAGGCAAAACTAGCTAGAAAGAAGAACTGGAATGCCATGAAGCATCCACGGGCTGGGACTGGGGAGACCAGGTTGATGGTGTGAGTTATTGCTGATCTAGGCTCTGGCTCACAGGCTGGCTGAAAACCCTCCAGGACAGCCAGCTGCCAGCTCTGCCAACATTTACAACATTGCTCATTCTCTAGGGAAAACTCAGGATAATTCCACAGGATAAAGTGTTGAGAATCATGCCAAAATCTAGTTTTATTTATTTTTTTTTAGGGGCAGGTGAGGAAGAGTGTATGAGGTATAAAGAAACATTTATTAAAACAACAACAATAATAAACAACTGTAATTCAATAATGAGCCTACTCAGAAGCCTATTAGGGCAATTCTTGATTATCTGAGTACTTAGAGTTTCCCTTATGGATTTTACTGACCTTCCCTTTTCTCTCTCTCTGAAAGCTTATCTCTTTCACATGCCACTGGTTATTAATAGTACCTTCAGAAAACTCAAGAGAGGAGGGTAAGGCTGTGAAATCACTTAGTCAAATATTCCTTTCACCCAGTTTAGAGGAGACAGTTCAAGTTAATGGAATATCTCACGGTCCCCATAAAATGCACGGGAACCACACAGGTACCATATGGACAGGTACACAGACACATACTGACACAGAGTCCATGCCAGAAGTACACACACACACACACACACACACACACACAAATACACACAGGTGAATACATATAGAAGTACACACTGGCACACACACAGGCACATATAAAGAGGCATTTGCACTCAAGCACACACATAGAGAAGTTAACAGACACACACATGTACATTCAGAAGTATGCACACATAGAAGTATACATGTACAGATACATAACTGAAGCATTTGCACTCAGGTACATACAGAAGTTAATACTAACAGAATTTAATACACACAGGTACACACACCAAAATAAGCAGAGGCACACACACACAGAATTGTACATACACAAGCACACACAGCAGTAACTGTGGGCTTCATTTCCACGATTAGCACAGATAATACAGAGTTGGCACTATCTGTTTTCCACCATGTAACAACAATCCCTGATGTCTCTTCACAGTTTTTCAAAGATTTTTCATATACATTATTTCATTTGGGGTGGAGGAAACATCACTGTCTTCACTTTACAAATGTGGAAACCCAGAGAGATTAGGCAATTGGCTCAAGGCCACATAGCTAATAACTGACTGAGCCGGGACTAGGTCTCATCATTCTCGGAGTTGTTTTACTCTGCTGCCTGAACGAGGATGGAATGCAGAGCATAGTAACAAGCTTTTGCAAGTGCTCAAAACATTGCAAATAACTTAATAACAGCAAAGGACATAAACATTTCCATTTTTCAAAACTGCATGGCCAGAGGACTGTGATGGACCTGCCCCCATCTCAATAAACACCCAGACGATTAAAGAGGGCAGAACAGTCTCTTACTTACCATTTAGAAGATTGATGTTGAGAAAAAGTAGTAGAATGAGAACAACTGTGGATGCCACATTTTCCTTCATGTTGGCGCCCTTCTCTTTCTACCGGAAATGTCTCAGAGGCTCACTGGAAGAGAAGACACCAGGCAGCTTGTGTGACTGACAGTCTGCTCAGGCATACGTTCCACTTTAATCTGGACGTTTGCAACGGATTCCTCTCCTTGCCTAACGTGAATGACAAAACAGGGGGAAAGGAATGTAGGAAAATGGAACATGGTTGGATGGCTTGGCTCAGAAGCACCAGTTCACACATGCTGGGAAAAATTCCACCAGCAGAGGTCATCAGATGACAACAGAGAGAGTTCAAGGGAGCCACTCTGCAGTCAGCTCCTTTGCACACATCCCAAAGAAAAATTGTTCTCTTTCTACCCTGCCATTCCCCAGCAATATATAACCCATTCTATGTGACATAGGTTGTGTCCACATACCTCACAAGATAACCATTCCAGGAGGGCTCTGGCTCTGATCCACCAGCCAAAAATTAGCTGGGCTGAAAAGTCAGTATCCTCAATAAAATTCCAGTCTGGCCCAACTGATGCCACCAAGTTAGGAGGGCATCCTCTAAAGGTTTAGGGTGCGAAGGTCCTGGAACCCTTCTAGGCTATGAAAGACCACACAGTGAACTCTAGTGAACCTCCACGTGATTTCTTTTTCTCTTTGAAAAAGCCCATAAATAAGAGATGATAAACCCCAGTAATAATTTAAATCCCTTGGGTTCAGAGTGTTAAGTAAATTTTAAACCTGCAGGGGTTGAATGTCTGGAGCAATTTATTATTAATATTATAATTTTTACTCTTGGAACAAGTTTCAAAGCCTGTAAATGCCCTTCATAGAAAAAAGGATTTTCAAAGACAGTTGAAAAAGGCTCATTAGTCTTGTTGGACTTCAAAAAACTCTCACAAAACAATAGATTTCATGAACTAAGTATAAATTCTCAGAAACACATGACTTAAATTTCCCTTTAAATTTCATGGTTTTTTAAATCACAGGAAGAAAATCCAGGAGCAAAGCTGCCCATCTTGGGATATTTGAAAAGGGTGAGTGTTGTTTGTTGAGCCCCTAAAAGACCAACCTTTGTCCATTCCTGCTGACCAGAAGTTGGCTCTCATCTGCCAGCTGGACACCACCTAATGGACAACTTCTGGAGGGCTTTTTCCACCTGTTACTACTCCATTAGAGACATACTAAGAAATAGAATCTTAGTGACAACAGAGTTTTGAGACACATATTAATGCACCTGCTCCAGTAACTGATCCCAGATGAACTGTGAGGTAGCCTGTGCGTTGTTCTTTGGGGGCCTTGTACTTGCTCTTCCAAGATTCCTTCCAAATGCCTCTGAGGCTGTGCATTCTATACTACCTTTTCCTCAAACCCCTTAGGCTCAGCTAATTGAGACTGTTATTAAAGGCTCGTAATAGGTTTAACCAGGGCTTTGACTGGTTCATTCTGGTTTGACTCCCTGCTGAGAATTTGCATTTCCATGCCAGATATACTGAATCAGAATCCACATTTGAACAAGATCCCCAGGTGAGTCTTATGTATACCACACAGTGAACTCTAGTGAACTGCTCTGTGGGAGAAAAGACCTGGCGATCTGCTCCAGTAAAGATTAAACCTACTGCTGTCGAGTTGATTCCAACTCATAGCGACCCTATGGGACAGAGTAGTACTGCCCCGTAGGGTTTCCAAGGAGCAGTTGGTGGATTTGAACTGCCAACCTTTTGGTTAGCAGCCAAGCTCTTAACCACTGTACCACCAGTGCTTCTAAAAGATAACAGCCTAGGAAAGCCTATGGGAGCAGTTCTACTCTATTGTATAGGGTTGCTATGAATTGGAATTGATTAGACGGCACACAAGAACAACAACGGGTTTAAAATAAGGCCTACCACTTATGGGACACCTATTACAGGCAGTGCTAAGTATCTTAATCATTTAAATTTCATTTAGCCTTCACAACAGCCCCATGAGTAGGTACAGGTTATTACCATTCCTTTTCACAGGTGAGGAAACTCAAGTACAGAGAGGTTGAGTAAATTGTTAGTCACATGCCACTGGGAGAGTGAAATCTGGCACTTAGAGCATCTGGCAAATCATCCTGAATTATGGGAAGTCTGAGATGGATGGTGCAATTATTCCCCCTTCTACACGGGAGACAGTGGAAACGTAAGCCCCAACATGAGCAACACTCCAAGCCTCATACATGTGTGGAGTCCCTGGTAGGAGCAGGCAAACCAGGGCTGCAGAGAGGAAATCTCAGCTACTGGCTCTCCTCGGTCCCAAACCAAACCAAACCCGTTGTTGTCGAGTACTTTCTGACTCATAGCGATCCAGTGTGTTACAGAGTAGAACTGGGTTTGAATACCAACCTTTAGGTTAGTAGTTGAGACAAACTGTTTGTGCCACCCAGGGACCTTTTCCTTAGCCCAGGGGATCTCAAACACTCTTGACCTTACTAATCCAGCTTCACTAGGCACATATGAAAACCAAACCAAAACAACAGTTGCTGTCGAGTCAATTCTGACTGATGGTGACGACCCCATGTGTGTCAGAGTAGAACTGTGCCCCATATGGTTTTCAACGGCTGATATTTTTGGAAGTAGATCACCAAGTCTTTTTACCTAGGCACCTCTGGGTGGACTCAAACCTCCAACCTTTCAGTTAGTACCTGAGCACACTTTTTGCACCATCCAGGGACTCTAGGTACATAGTCCCTGAAGAAAATGAGTCCTTTCCCCTGGTGACCTGGTGACCTCAGCCTGACTTGGGGATGAGAGTCTGGCCATCAGTTGAAGGATTTGTATAACATCCCTTTGTTGACACTTCCCTGAATCAAAATGCTTGAGATCAACAATCACCCCTTGCAGGCAAGGTCAAACGCTATCCAGACAGCTCTTCCAAATCAGACTGCGAGTGTTTTGCAGAAGAAATGCTGGGGTGGGGAGCAGAGCAGAGGCCTGGCCGGAGCAGATACTGTCCAATCTACTTCTACTTCCTATGGGCTGGTTCAGGCTCAAAGACACTCTCCTAAAAAATACCTTCCTATAACAATGTTTTCAGGAAGCATTTTACAGACTAAAAAGAAACAACTTTTATCTGGGGTTTCCTGAGATGTATTCTGGGTTCACTTTCTAATGCCTTAAAACCCCTGCGCCAGGGAATTAGATGTACCCACAATAGTGTAGTTATGGTGTTTCAGTAATGATTTCCCAACTCATCATGTATTTTACTTACAGCAGGGCAAACACAGTGGGGTAAGTAAACAGTTATAAAGAAATATAACCGCAGCTGCTCACCCATAAGGGTGCTAATGCTGGATGCTAATTCTGATCACCCATTGTGGGGCCTCCCAGCACTGGGAACATGTCCCGCTTGTCCATTGACCATTTTTCATAGCTGGCAGACACGAGGCTACGGGTAAATATGGTTTTTTGTCTCCCTGAGTCCACCACTCATCTTGATCTACAGCAAGCATGACCCTTCTTATTCATCCCAGTTGGGATTGGGACACTCAAAGAGGGTTAACGGCCTACTTTTAATAATAGTTACAAGTAACAAATGGCTCCAAACATTTGGAGTCCAATTAGCAAAACATCAAACTCCCACACTCAGCCCAAGGACAACTATATGAAGCTTCACGCCTCACTAGCAACCTGGGTATGTTTGTGGTTTAAAAATGCAAGACTTGGAACTGAATAGCAGGTTTGTAGCAAGTCAGCAGCCCCCACACCTGGCCCATGTCTATCTGCCTTGACTTCCTTGCTTCTGAATGCTAAGACTCTCCCATCTTTATGCCCTTCCCCATTATCTTTTTCAAATATTCCTTCTCACCGTGCTATGTCCCATTGTGGTATGACTTTAATGAAACTCCTTCTTCCTCAGTTTGCCCTGCATCAGCTCTGATCCTGTTCAGATCCTCTCTTTCTAGAAGCCTTCATTCATCACTTTGTTGCTTTGAGTCTCTTCCATAGAGGCCAACAGTTGAGACACAAGTCCAGCAACCTGTACCCTGGCAGCTTGCACTTTTGAGAAACAGAGCCACTCTCTCCAGATGGAAAATCAGGGCCACAGTCACATGGCCTGAACTGATCCTACTATGCACACTAGGGCGGTGTGCCACCAGAGAGGAGGCAGCATGGCCTTCTGAAAGTTAAAAATAAAGATTTGAGTTTCCAACCCACCTCACTCTGCTGCCTATTTCTGCTCTCCTCAACCCCTCGTCCTCTGTGATAGCCACCATTGGAGTTCATCTGCACATTCGACACCCCCAGCCCTGAGCCAAACGTGAATGCCAGCAATCTCAGCTCTATCATTTTGTGGGACATGCTCCCAAGACCTGGTGTAAGGTGAGCCCTGGGATGAGTGCAGTTCTGCCCTGTCCTGCCTTATCTGCCACTGTCCTTTCAATGCTCTGCTCAGATTTTCCCCTCAATTTTCCTGACTCTAGAAATGGACCTAACTTTCTCTGAAGCCCTACCTAGCTCTTATAATTCCAATTCCTTGATGGACAAGCAGGGTCCAATCCAAGATTTGGATTTTTTAAAAGACTGTCACACATATGCACAAATCACAAGTATACAGCCCAATGAATTATTGCAAAGTCAATACACCTGTGTTACCACTCAGTTTGAGAAAGAACAACACCCCAGAAATCCCCCTTATGCCACCTCTCAATCTCTACCCACTGCTTCCCTAAAGGAAACACTCTCCTGACTTCTAACATGACAGATTAGTTTTGCCTACTTTTGAACTTTATGTAAATGGAATCATGTAGTATGCACTTTATGAGTGGGTGTGTCTGGCTTCTTTCATTCCACGTTGTGCCATTCACCCTTGTTGTTACGTGTAGTTTTACTAATTTTCATTTAATCTTGTTCATCTCTATTCATACATCATATGAATCATTTATTCATTCAACTGTTGATGAACATTTGAGTTGTTTCCAGTTTTTGCCAGACTTTGGATTTTGCTAAGACTGAAAGGCTACGATCAAGACTCGGATGGCAGGGGAGCCCTGTACCCCGCATATCAACTTTAGGCTCCTTGCCAACTTCAATTCTTCACCATAAA